CATTTTATAATTCTCTGGAAGAGAGAATGTGCATCTAAGCTATTAAATGATTGTATAATCTCATATAAATTTGTATTAAATGTTTTTTTTTGTGCCAGAATAAACAGACAACCCGTTCTTTCATTTGGTGGCTCATTGAGATAGTTATTAACTGACATTAGTTCTTCATTCCCAGCTTATAGTAGCATAGTAGTATAGTAAGTTCTTTTAAATAAGGGATAGGTATAGATCACATGCCCTTAAATCTCCCTACACACAGGATAGCACATATTGCACTAAGATTATTTATTTCAGCCCAATATGCAGTTTTTGTGCTGAAAATATACTAATAAAGAAGTCTTTGCTACTTGTGAGTATGTGTTTTGGGGTACAGTTTACATGAGGTTGACACTGCATTTAAAATATTGCTTTTGCAAATATACACTGACATTTCTTCGAATTCAAGAGATGTATTGAGTTAATTTGTAAACACATTTCTAAGATTTTCCTGGCACATGTTGCTCATTGTCTTTCAGAGGATGCTGCACTACATGACCTTTATTGATTGTGTAAACGTTTGTCTGTGAAGCTAAGTGGTTCCAGTATTCCTGGACAGTTTTACAGCGTTGCATTGCTCATCCACTTTCCAGATTTTCTTTTGTATTATTTCTTTTTTGTTTACCTCTTGTGTAGCTTAATACAGTATATGCCTTTCTGTTCTGTTTCTAATTAAAAATTCAGAGCTGTCCAAAGATCTGCAGGCCTCACATTTTGAGTCACCTGAAAATATTCCTGATCACTGTGCAAGACTGATCTGGTGAAAACATTCTCAGCATTTCTGTATGTTGATTAAGCTGAAATATGAGAAATCGTGAACCAATAGTATGTTTGCACAGGGAAAAAACAACAACACACCCTTATTTTTTTTTAATTTTGCAGACCATCAATATTGGCAATGGATGTAAGCAGAAAGAAACTGAAAGACTTTCCCCCTCACCACCACCAAATAACAAACATAACAACCCAGCTCCCTCAGCGAAATATAGGTCAGATCCACTGCATACATTAACTGGGCCTTCCTGGCCAACAGATACATTGAAATGGCCATTCTTTTTCAACTTCTTCAACAGATGT